GCTTAAATGCAGATAGTTCAGATACCTGAATTAGCAAAAGTGTGGTATGGGTAAATTAAGCTGCTGGCGACTACACTGGACTCCTTCCAGCAGCCTTGCAAGGGCTCCTGTTCATAAGGAACTGTGTCACGCAGTTCATCTCCTTTTCTACATTATGTAGTATGGAGGGATGATTAGAGCCAGAGTAAGAGCCTCTTTCTGTTTCAAAGTGAAATTTCTGTGAACTGTGTGAAATTGCTCTGGAATGCAAATATGCCCACAGAGCAGCTGGGTAAGGGTCAGTGAGAAGATAAAAGCCAGAGAGCCCTGAGAGGTAGCCCTTGACATAGAGATGAGTTAGGTTGGTCCTACCAGGCTTGGCACTGCACCTATCTTGCTGTCAAGTTGTGGCCCCAGCCAGGTCCCAGAACATTTGAATTGCTTGATAACCACCTTATCTAGTATATAGTACCTGCTACTATAGAAAAACAGGTTGAAAATTACAATAACTGAAAAAAAAAGGTGCTGGGTTTCCCAGCAGGCTGTGAGAATAAAGCTTGTCAAATGAATGATCCCAGAAGTGAATAACTGTAAGGTTTATGACCTGTTTTAATACAAGCTAGGTAGCTCAAAGGGAGATAAACCAGCTATTAAAAAAGGCCTGTGCCCAGTCAGTAGCAATTTAAACTTGGCCCTTATACAGGTGTGGTGATTGGAAGAGGAATACAAAGACAGGTTCTGCCTCTATCAAGGAATATTAGTTTCTGCTTTTGTAATAATGATTTGAATTTTTACTATTTTGGGTACTACTGTAGTCCAATATGCAAATACATATATATATATATATGTACAGTATAATACATGCCTCAATTACAATTATTTTTCTTAAAAGATTTTGTGCTCTAGGACAGAGATAGAGCTGCCTGATAAAATCAAGAGATTTTACAGAAGTTCATAGCATTCAGTTATGAAAATGGGGGAATGGGATCAGGACTGCGTGAGAAAAGTGACCACCAAAATATTGGGAGAAAGCATAAGAAGCATTATCTATCAGATTATTTCACATTATTAAAATATTTAATCAATATTTAATGAGGTATCCCGCACATAATCTTTCCTGGGGTTCATCTTTATTGTACAGTCATTCACTGATGTTTTTGCCTTGACATTTTTAATGCTTTATCACTTCTGTTTGTTCCTCTGCATATGCTTAAACACTGTCTTATTTCATCTTCCTTATGCCTGTCCTTTTCCCAGTCACTCAGAAAGTTACTCAGCTTCAGAAAGAACTTTTTTTTTTTTAAACGTTCTTTAAGCCAGTATTGGAATTCAAATCCCAAAGACAGTTTCAGCTTTTAAAACCAGGCCTTAGTTTCATATCTTACTTTTCATCTCTGAGGGTAAATTCAATAGAAAAAGGTCTGAAGAGATGCAGACCTCCTGCCAGCTCAATGTCCCTAAAGACATTGTCTGCTTTCAAATTTCTTTCTTTTCTAATCTGGGCAACAAATGCTCATGAATTAAATACCAACCTCTGAGAATTAAACTAGTCCACATATGATAACATTTTCCATGGTGCAAATGATGTTTCTTAATTATTTTTTCTTTCTATTCTTGTCTGCCCTTTTGCCAGTCCTTTCACTACATCACATCCCACAGAAGACACCTGCAGCCAAGGGTGACCAACCTGCAGCTCTGTGCAGGAAATTTGGGTAATAACTTTTGAAATACTGTGTACAGGGATGTATGGCAAATCATAATTCAGCATGGCTTGCTGTTATCTGTCTTTCCTTTATCCTGCCTGCCTTCTCAGGACCCTCCAGATATGAAAATATACTCCTATTTGGGAGCTGTTTTGAATTTTCAAGTAAAGCCACAAGTATCTTTCGCACCACTAGGATATTATACCTTATGCACTTTCAGGAAAGGCTCTGTACTTTTCAGTCAAAGTTTTAATACTTTAAAACAGGGAAGTTCAAACTTTTTCCTTTTTTGAACAACAGGGGCTTTTTAAGAAAATACAATTTTACAAATACTTGCTGGCTTATTCATTGTCAAATAGACCAAATCTCATTCCATTTTCAATGTCTTAATATTCATATGAATAACTCAGTAATTGCTGTGGCTAATAAAATGATATTATGAGAATATTGGCTGTATTTTAGGTCTTTTTCAATAAAACTGAACAACTGAAAAGGAGAATAAATTGGGACAGCCAAAATGGATATAGAGCTAAATTTGTACTTGGGCTATTGCTCATTCAAGACACTGAATTTGTTGGGAACAGCTATGCTGACCTTTGATTGAGCTACATTTCAGATACTCAGAATACATTTCAGAAATTCACCATCAAGTGACTTGAACTTAAGAGCAACTTGTCAAACACAAAGTTCAGACTTCAGCTTCATATGTGGAAGCAGTCCAAGACAGAGATATTTGATATTTAGGTTAGACAAAATAAGCCTTTTCTAAAAGTATATAAAGTGTGGTACTAATCTAACTCAGATTGAAACATTGAATTATGTGTAAACAAACTTGACCATAGTTCTCCTCAGAATAAATCACAAAGAAATGTTTCTTATTGTTATTTATGCAAAGGAGAGCATTCACATTTACTGCAGCAGAGCCAGGATTCTCTGCCAAGTGAAACCAGATGATTTCAAGTTGGGGGCTATACTCACAAAGAGATTTTGGTTAAGGTCTGCAGATACATAGCTCATAATTATTAACTTAGGGAAAGGAATTAGTAGATGGATGTGGATAACAGGAATTGTTCAGCATTTGCTTTTTGAAAGACTGAGGAAATAAGTCACAATCATTTATGATTTTCAGACTCCAGAAGGTTTCATTTCATTAGTATAATGCAATACAAAACCCAGGAGTTGCAATTTGCTATCCTCTCAAATTCTACTACAGTTTAAAAAAAAAGTCCTTTTCAACCTGAAGGCATGACAAAATGAAACTGGAAGAGGAGAAGGGGTGCTGTCTAAAAAGGCATGAGAGATTTGAACTGTTACAAAGCCAATTTACAAATTAATGTAAACTTCTCAACTCTCAATGAAAAAGAAACCTATTAACATTCAAAGGTATTACTATTAATTTTAACACTTTTTTCCCTGGATCAAGATCATTCTGTTAGAAAATGGCAGAATTAATAACAATAATTAGTCATTCACAGTCTGTATAGATTTTTTATTTTAAGAGAAATTTAAGAGAAATTTAAGAGAAATTTAAGAGAAACTTAATTGAATAACAAGGAGAAAGATGGAAGAGAAAATACAATAAAGATCATCACAAAAATTAAGTTAATTGATGAAATCCCTCCTGCTCTCACATACAAGGTGATAATCACACATTTTCATCACACGGGTTAAATACACATCTCCAGTTATGTCCTACCCAGAAGATATAAAATTAGTGAGGAGACTGAAATGCCCTGTGCTGTGTTGAACTTTAAATTTCTGCCTTTGCTTTTATAATTACTGTAGAATCCTATCAACATAGGCAATTATTTTTGTGTATCTTTGGAATTTGATAAATATCTATGCTATAATAACATGAAAGAAGAAGCTCTCTGTCAAGGTAACAAAGATAACTAGGAATAAAGCAGGAACAGTGGGGAGAGAGGGAAGAACTATTACTAAAAACAGTGCTAATATTCTAATTCAAATTTATTTTCTAGGCAAAATCCACAGGTCATTTTTGTCAACAGATAATTATACTGAACCAGTTAATAGGAGTATCAGGCAAAACAGAGACCAGCCACTGCCACCATGATTCTATTTTGAAGAACATGGAAATAAAGTACAATCCTCCCTCTCTGTTACTCCTTTCTTTTGTTTTGTGTTTGTTGGTTTTTTTTTTTTGTCTGTTAGTTTTTTTTTTTTTTCTCTGCATTCATTCTTCCTAGGCTGGCTTTTGCCGTTGTTTAGTTTGGCTTTGGGTTCTTCTTTAGGTTTGTGGTGGTTTTTTTGGTTTTTGTTTTGGGGTTATTTGTTTTGTTGTTGTTTGGTTTGTTTTGTCTTGTAGATACTACCAGAGGAAGTTCTCTAATGTATGAAGAGCTGGAACAGAATTTTCACCCTGACAGGTAAAGGTGTTTAAATACCCTAAAGTAATTGGAGGGGCATGAAACTGCTCTGTCCATGGCACTGACATTCTCTGCTGATTTCACTTTCCACCCCTGATGGAGCCTCTCCCTTCGTTGTGCACTGTTAGAAATGCAAACCCTGAAAACTCTTTCTCTTTATAAAAAAGTGCTGGGCCTTTGGACACTGAACTCAAACACAAGTAGAGAGCAGCAAGAGAGAAATAGGCTCAATCTAACCTTGACAGCTCTGCAGCCCTGGAACAACTTTGTATTTGGGAGTTGGTCCAAAGAGGGTTATATGTCTCATATTATTTTCTTTTTCTTTATTTTTTTTCCTACTCTTAAAAACTTCTCCTCAAACTAAGTTTATGGCAGGAATTCATAACAAAAATTCCTATTCTGGTAGACATAGTTTAGCTTTAAAACAAGAATTCTTCTTAACATAAGATGTGCACACAGGGGAAGAACCTGGCTGATGAAAAGCCAGGATGGGACAATGGATATTTTACCAAACTACCATTACTTGACCTAAGCTGACCTTGAATATTTTCTGAGTGTGACAGTTTATGTTAGACTGCACACAATTTGCTGAGGTGATTGGAATCATTTAGAGCTTCAGCTAGGCAGCTTTAGCTAACAGGGCACTTGAAGTTGCCCTTTATCAGCTCACATGCTTGTGTTACCTAATTTAGAATATGCCTGAGCAAGAAACAGGTTCTAATGTGTTTGATTCAGTCTGAGAAGTGCTGTACTGATAAATAATTTTATTTTGTGGAAAATTATCCATCTTTCTGGGTTTTTTTGACCAGCTGAAATCAGACCCTCTAACACCAACTATATGTTCTTGGTAAAACGGTGCACTTAATAAATAAATGTGGCAAAAGGAAGAAACTGCATTCCTGGTAGTGCAGAAGGATGAACATCTGCTTACCAACACAGTCACCACACGCAGAACCACTCCTCGCATGTTGTTCTCCAGCTTTCTGTCAGTTAGTGACCCATTCAGACCAGTTACAGGATTCCAGCAGCCAAGCTAAAAGAGAAAACAAAAATCATTTTCTCATTGCCCATAAAACTCTGCTAGTCATTCCTAATAGGTGTCTTTCAGCAGGAATGTATGAAATAGAATGCCTTCTTGACTCAATGGGATGAAAACTCAGGGAATGGGTTGTGCACAGTTTCATCTTGAAATTGAAAATGAAGCAATTAAGGATATCAGGTGTTGATTTTAAATACCAGTGTGCAATGGATGACAGCATCCAGGATTTGGGGTTATATGCACTGCTTTAAAAGAGAGGATAGCAATATTAGTGAAAAAAATATAAAAAGTACTGTAGCTGTAGCAATATCTCTACCTTGCTTTCATTAATACACTAATTGGAGAAATAATAGCTACCATCATTTTAGCTCTTTGCTCCAGCCCATCATTCCTAGTGGAACTCTGACAAAACAAATTACACCAGCTTTAATTAAAGCTTATACTACTAATTGCTAATGAAACAGCAGTGATTTTAAGCCAGTTTAAAAATCACATTTAAAGATGATTGAGGAAAAGGCCATTGGATAGGCACATCACACTATTGAGAGAGTACCACAATAGACAATGCAGAAAAAGAAGTTCATCTATGCCATTCTTTGCATTTGTGCTATTGCATTTCTTGAGCTTCTGTGGATTAAGGTTTTTCTCAGGAATGTCTTTAGGGTTAGCTGCTTTTCAGTCTAGGTTTAATAGATACTGACTTGTAGTTCAGCTTCTCTGAAAATGTAACTTGCTTGGGTTTTTGTATGATGGTAGATGCTTTTTTTTAAGCATAGAGAAACAAATCAATCAACCACACATCCCTTAGCACCACACACCAAGATAACCAGTTTCATTTTTGAAATTCATTACCACACTCAGCTGTCCTGCAAAATTACCAGTTTTAAATCCAAATCCCAAGAGAAGGACAATGACTGACTTCAGAGGACTTTGGAGCAGAGTCTCAATTATGGCAGGTAAACCAATAGCCTATGTGAAGTCATGACACAGCCAAAGAGACAGGCACCAGTTCTTGCCCTGAATCACCTTCCCCATGGACTGTGAATGAAACCTTTCCAGGGATGCACATCTTCTGACTCCTGTTTAAAGGAGCAAAAGGTCTTGCTCTGTCTGGTAAACCAAGATGAACATCAGTAGGGTATTATTTGCTCCAGTGGCCTCTACTAAGACTATTCTCTTGGAGAATTCAACATCATAATCTGAGAGAAACAAACTGTAAAACATGGAAAAAATATTGCTGTATTTCACGCAGATATACAGAAATTGCAGGTTGCCTCAAACCATCTAAAAGGGCTTGTAAAGAAAGGGGTTTTGCTGAACAGGAATTTACAGAAATCGTTATTTTCAGTCCTTCATGTGAAAAGGCTTTGTATATGTGTTTCATAGTTCTTTCAAAGTGAAACAGAAAACAAAGAACAAACTTTAAATAAAGTTATTTAACAATTTTAGAAGTGGGTAATCTGAAATACTTGTTTTCTTCATTACACCTATTAGACTAGAGCAACTTCTAAATTTTTTAATTTTGATATATTCTTATAATTTCTTTGAAGATGCCTCGTTAAGAAATGAATCTCTCAAATTGTAAAAAAGTTAAAACTTTCTGCAATGATAGACAAGTTAAGTTTGTCTCAATGGTCGCACAGGTCTTTTCCAATCTAAATGATCCCATGATTCTATGTTCCATCTTCTCAGAGGAAGATGGCCTTAAAGCAATGTCTTCACTTCTCTCTGCTGTTTTCAGGAGTACTCACAGCTAATGCTTGCCCTTCTGAAGGGATGGTTATCCTACAGTCAGGGAATGAGCGAGGCTAATGCTGAGCATACTTGTAATCACAAGTAGTGACAGAATCAAGGATCTATCAGATCCAAACCTCAGAAAAACTGAAAGCAACAACAGGATACAAGAAGAAACAAAACAGGACCTGTCCTATTAATCTCTTGAAATTGCTCATCTTTCCTGTGGCTGCTTCTAAATAAAAGCACAAATTATCCCCATGTAGTTTCCCCATTTCATGTTCCTGTCCAATCTTGAAGACCAGCAAGAGATCATAGCAGCCCCCTCTGCTTCTTTCTGGTTCTCCACAGTGTATGCAGCTGCTCTCTAGTCATGGATGGACTACTGACACATTCCAGGTCCTCACCACCCCTCTGGGAAAGCCCTGCAACATTTTGGGTTGAATAACCTAAAATGCTGAAGTGTATGGCCTATAACAGTACAGTGAAATGCAGCAAATGTACGCGCACTGCACTTTGTACGTGACAAACCACTGACATCCTGTAAAGCAAAACATTTCATGGGCTACATTTTCATATGAAAAATAGTGAAAGCAGTACTAAGTTCAGAACAAAGCTGCATTAAATTAATTCAGTGATTGTCATTCTTAGTCACACAAAGAAACTAATTAGAACTTAGATCCAATTAGCATATCCAAATGTGTTGGATGTATAATTACTGCAGAAACTCTGTTGCTTTTGCCAGAACTAAAACCCTAGGAAGTTGCTGAAGAGCCCTTTTATCCTTTTGAAGTTAAAGTCCATTTTTAATTATGTACATTAATGTGCACATATTTATACAATTAAGCTTTTAGCCCAACCCTACCTTTTTTAAAACTCCCCTACCAATGTAACATTTCTGGAAATTCAGCATTGCACTAATTTTCCTTTTAAAAGGCACTTTTTATTTTCAATTATTGTTCATTTAATTTTCAATTCAATTGTTCCTTTATGCAGCTCAGTCATGGTGAAGACAAATGTGCAGTGTCTTGCCAACAAAGTTGAAATTGATTTTGAGTGGGAGCTGCTTACTGTTATTAGGATAAAACAAATCAACATTTATTGATGACAATTTGAGCTTGTCATTGCAACAAGGAGCAAATGTATCTACTGCAGAAACATCGAGATGGGTGGCATGAAGCTCCCTCTTCAGCTTTGTCTCGTTTAACCACTTCTGCAAAACATTTGCTGCTTCTGCAGTAAGTTCCTTTCACTCTTGTTCTCTCTCTGATGGTTGAAATGACAGACTAGATCAGACAATAACAGAATCTCACATTAATTCGGGTGGATTTGGGCAGATGGGTGATGGGAACTCTTAGGGAGCACAGTGCTTGTCATCTTCATACCACCCAAAATTTATCTTTTATAGTGCTTTGAACTTCTGTTTCAGTTTCTTTTATTTATTCTAATGACAGCTTTCACATTGCTAGGTTTGATGTAATATGATGAAGATGGAAAAGTTGTCAGTCTTCTACTTCCTTTGATATCCAATTTGCAATCTCTTTCTGTTCATCCCACATCCCAGCTTGTTATCCTCACTATCATCATTGTTGAAATGGGCTTTGTTCTCCTGTTTTGCTGGCAAAGCCAAAAATTTACTTCCCTTCTTCATTAGAATTTTTTGACTATATGAACAATGAATTATGGAAGGTCTTTAATTTGTATATCAATATTACAGTAGGCAAAATCTATTTCATATGTACTTACAATTTCATTGTTTATAAGGAACTTGGAACACTAAAGTCTATAATGCCTTTACAAGAGTTTACAGCCAGTTTTCCTCCCCTACTTCCTATGCAACCAGTGAACTCTGCTGAATATCTGAGAGCTTTCACTTCTTTTTCTGGCAGAGCAAAGTGCAGATTGTGTCAATTAATCAAGAAAAATACATTGGCCTGGTGCGGTCACAGTTGAGGATGATCAGAGAAAATGAATAAAACCAGAATACAGATACAGATGGATAACTTAAATGCTTGTCACTACATCAAAGTTTAGAGTGTTCTGTTGCTTCAATTAACACAGAAAATATACAGGAATGGCTTTATCCAGTGCAACCACCTTGGAACTCAGGCTGCACTATCACAGTACTATTAAGGGTCAAAAGCAGAAAACTCTAGAGGAGGTACAATGGAAATCTGAAAGATAAAACTGCACTACATCTGCAATCCAAATCTATAAGGGCATTGGGATCACTGACTCCTCTTTCATTTAAAGAAAAAAATCCCAACAATATCTTGGTTTTAGTATGGACAGACTGACAAAATATTTCCAGTAGAAATGTCCAGGAGAGAGCAGTTCATAGAGAGCTGGTGAGCCACAGCAAGAGCAGCCTCCCTGCCTGGAGTACCCACATACTCTTCAGAAACTCCCTCCTCAATTTTCACCCAGGTCCAACCTGCTTTAGGAACTGAATTCTTACAAGATCCAACTTCAACTGAAGAAATGTGCATTAATAACCCCCTTTTCCATTCCAAAGCACACTAAATTCACAGAAATGGAAAAGACCCCATGAAGCTGTCACAAAATGACACTCAGCTGGAAGATCTGAGCTCCCAGGAGTGCTGGAAAGACTTGAACTGGGGCACACAACAAAAAAATAATGAAGAAAAAGGTGAATTCAGCATTTGCAAAATTTTCTAGGACATCAGTTTAGGCAAAATTCAAGCAGGACAACACAGAAATTGCTTTGCATAGAGCCTCTTGTCAGCTGTTGTTTAATATATCCAACAGCAACTGAGAAATCAGACACTAAATCCTATTGCTTAAAGACTGTCATGGTTTGACACTGGCACAATGCCAGTGCCCCCGTGAAAATGCAATCTCCCAACTGAGAAGTATGTCTCACAGAAGAAACACCATAAAAGATATCTTTTGGTTGTCAATATGATACTGTCAGTCACATAAAATATTGTCAGATGCCCTGTTACCTGGTTAAAGAGTCCTTTTCATGCAGCTCTTTAGCCAGCAACCAACAGTTGATCAACCAAATGTGCAAAAAAAGTCTGGTGGCCAGTGGTTAACTGAGGCCTTTTGTACCCCTGGGCTTGATTAAAGAAGTAAGGATCCCTTTTGTTTTTGCAGCTATTTCTTAATAGGTTTGTTTAGCAGAAAAGCTTTTTATATTTAACTGCTGCCTTCACCAAAGCTTAGGTAATAGTCAGCAAATAGCAAGTTGTTAAAATCAATAGAAGATACTGTGCTCAACAATTGGATAATGTATA